ATTCTTCTCGTATTCATTTGCTTAACTGTCCCCGTTATGTCAGTTATGTTCTAGTTAGTCACCACAGACACAGAATTTGTGTGCATCCTCATATACAACTCTAAAGGAAAACAGAGTAGTTTCCTATGAGCCACTGGACATATTTTTGCCATAGCAACCAACACAAAACCTTGTTTTTAACCAGGTGTGGTACACTTCTCTAATCTCAGTACTCAGGAGGCAGGAGGTGAATCTCTGAGTTCAAGGCCAGCCAGGGCTATAGAGTAAGACCTTCTTTAAAAGAAAAATCAAAACAAAATTTCTCAAACCAAAAATAACCCCTTTGTTTTATGTTTACTTCTCTTTAAAGATATTTTATCTAAAACATATCTTTATGGGGCTGGAGAGATGGCTCAGAGGTTAAGAGCACTGACTGTTCTTCCAAAGGTCCTGAGTTTAATTCTCAGTAACCACATGGTGGCTCACAACCATCTGGTGCCCTCTTCTGGCCTGCAGACATACATGCAGGCAGAATACTGTGTACATGATAAATTGATCTTTTACAAAGTTTAAAAAACAAATTAAACATATCTTTATTCAAGAATATTGAACTCAAGGTCAACAGCACGTTATTCTCAATGGAATTTTTTTTTCTTTTGGTTTTTCGAGACAGGGTTTCTCTGTGTAGCTTTGGAGCCTATCCTGGCACTTGCTCTGGAGACCAGGCTGGCCTCGAACTCACAGAGATCCGCCTCTGCCTCCCGAATGCGGGGATTAAAGGTGTTTACCACCAACGCCTGGCTCAATGGAATTATTTAACCTAGGTTTCTAACCTCCCTGTGTCTAGGAAAATCACTCAACACAACACTCGGGGCTGTTTGTTACAGCATAATCATCAACAGCAAATACAAACATACAAAAATGTAATACTACACAGAGCACTGAAAGGATTTTGTTTACATTGAGAAAAAGAAACCAGGGTTGTGTGGTTTTACTTGACCTTAGCTGGATGTAGAATCTGGGACTCTGCACTGTCCTCAAATGAGCAGGAAAGCACTGCAATTATTGATTTTGGGCTGCAAATATGTTTTTGGTGAATTTGCAAGTAAGGGAACTGATATGGTTGCAATGTACAACTTTAGTACAGTTCTAAGTCCACTTCATTATCTATGAAGTA